GGCTTGGTCTGTAGGCCCTTAACCATATGAGTGGCCCTTCTCTGGACCCTCTCCAGGTTATCCGCATCCCTCTTGAAGTGCGGTGCCCAGAATTGCACGCAGTACTCCAACTGCGGTCTGACCAGCGCCCGATAGAGGGGAAGTATCAGCCCCTTGCACCTATTTGTCATGCATCTGTTGATGCACGATAAAGTGCCATTGGCTTTTTTGATGGCTTCGTCACACTGCCGACTCATGTTCATCTTGGAGTCCACTAGGACTCCAAGATCCCTTTCCACTTCCGTGCCACCCAGCAGGTCATTTCCTAGGCTGTAGGTGTGCTGGACATTTTTCCTCCCTAGGTGCAGCACTTTGCATTTCTCCTTGTTGAACTGCATTCTGTTGTTTTCTGCCCGCTTGTCCAACCTGTCCAGGTCTGCTTGCAGCTGTTCCCTGCCCTCCGGCATGTCCACTTCTCCCCATAGCTTTGTGTCATCTGCAAACTTGGACAGAGTACATTTCACTCCCTTGTCCAAGTTGCTGATGAAGACATTAAAGAGTATCGGTCCAAGGACCGAGCCCTGCGGGACCCCACTGCCCACACCCTTCCAGATCGAAACCGACCCATCCGCCACGACTCTCTGGGTGCAACCCTTCAGCCAATTCGCCACCCACCAGACTGTGTAGTCATCCAAGTCACAGCCTCTTAACTTGTTCACCAGTATGGGGTGGGATACCGTATCGAAGGCCTTCCTGAAGTCCAAGTATACGACATCCACCCCTCCTCATGTGTCCAGGCGTTTCATAACCTGGTCATAAAAAGAGACTAGATTGGTCAGGCACGATCTGCCTGCCACGAACCCGTGCTGGTTTCCCCTCAGCATAATTTGTCCTGCTGGGCTCTTGCAAATGCGAGCCTTGATAATTTTTTCAAAGATTTTGCCAAGGATGGAGGTGAGACTGACTGGCCTATAGTTCAGGAAGAGACTGGCTTAGCATTGGTCACGGATGATCTAGGAGTAGCTATGCCTGTGTTCTGCTGTGGGTATTTCCCATGCTACTGAGCTTTGCTTGTTGCTACATGGGGCTAGGAAAGAATTATTTTCTCCCTCCTGCTGCTACATGTGTCAGGGTTTTTTTTAAGCCTTCCTTAGAAGCATTGGGTGTTGGCTGCAGCAAGGCTGGGGATTTTGACTGAGGTGTCAGTGCCCTATTGGAACTTAAGCCATGAGGTTTCTAGCTAGAGGGTCTTATCTCTCCAGTCAGCATCATACCAGTCGCTATATTTAGGGTCAGGATGGAATTTTACCCTATGGTCAGATTGGCACAGATTGTGAGGGGAGGGATGGACGAACATGGCCTTGTTCCTAGGATCTATTGAATGCATTTTAACAGCTTTTGTAGTAGCAGGACATTGGCCACTGTGGTCCCCCTGCTTTACCTGTGGTAGCTTAGGGTATTATGTCTTGTGGTTGTGCCCTGGTTGATTGTGTAGTTTTGCTAATAGGTTAGACAATGGATTTGTATAGGATGGTTTGGATAGGGAAAATCCCATCACATACAGGGAGCTGGACTAGATGACCTCTATAGGCCCCTTCCATTCCTACTTTCCTGTGAGAGCATCCAATGACAGAGGCAGCAGATTTCTCAAGGAAGAATCTAGTTCTCTCTCCCTCAATGTATTTCTAAGGGACAGAGCAGATGCCTTCACCCTCTTCTCACTCCAGCAGCAGTTAGGGTCACCTTAATGCTGCTTCACTTGAATTTTGCACCTCTAGGCTTTTCTAGCAAATACCCCATAAAGTTCACATTTCTGTAAACAATGCGGTTGATTTTCCTGGTTAAATTATACACTCTGATGTGTCATTAACAGGGAGTCCTTGACAGCAGGATTGACCCTGACATTAGAGGTGAAATATCCTGAAGAGATCTTGAGGATCTAAGGAAGGGCACTTTGTGCTTGGAAGCTTCTCTAATGTGTCTCCCAACTATATAGTTGGTCCAGTAAGAGACATCACAAAAATATCTTTGATTCTCAGGGAATTTATGTAATAATCCTAACTTTTTAAGAAGGCTTGATTTAAGGAATGGGCAGTGGTTTAATGCAGTGCTTCTCAACCTGTGGATCACGACTCAAAAGTGGGTCACAAGAATATATGGAAGGGTCAGGAACAAACTTTAAAAATGGATAAAAACAAGTTTTAAAATGGATTCTCTTTTAAAGGAGGAACCCGTGGCTTTTACCTTGCATGCAGGCAGAGTTCTAGCCTGCAAGGGGCTGCTTAGGTCCCCCCCCATGCCTCATACCCCAGCCTCTCACCCCACACACTGAGTGGTGGGCCTAGGGGTGAGGGGCACTGTGTCAGGAGTGAGGGGCACTGTGTCAGGACTGGCCATTAATGTTTACAATTGGGTCCTGATACAAAAAAAGATTGAGAACTACTGTTTTAAGGGCCATTATTCTTGCAAAATCAGTTTACCTATCCCTAACTAATAAAAGCTTGTGAAATTACAGCTGGAACTCTTAAAATATTGTTGAAATAAGTTTACTGACAGATCAGCAAGGAACTCATTGACATCTTTATTATGGTACAATGGGAGATTTACTAAGGAAATCCTGTTATAATCCTTTAATACGGTGTGTGTATTATGATGGCATTATTTGTGTGCAAATCTGTTGGGATACGTTTTGATGCTTAATTCTAAGTAAAGTGATATAATAGAAGTTTACCTTGTTATTAAACAAACAAGCTACAGTGTTTGCTAAAAAAAATCTAAACATTCAGCATTACAGATTTGAAACAGGGAAAAATAATACAACAAATGTGAGTTTTGTGTGATGTCTTTCACATTCAGGGTGTGGACATGTGTAACAACTGAACCATTCCTGTCACTGATTGGGAACCATTTTATAACTGTGGGTCAGAGGTGTCCACATATGTACAATGCCCTAGCACTCCAGGTAGAATGGTCAGTTTTGGGGCTCTGAAATACTGTGGCTCTGAGACCAGAGGGTGGGACTGAGCATCCATCCCATCATGCCTGGTAGGGGGTGAGTGGGAGGGGACTGCTTGCAGCCATGCTTTGGGGGTCCCAGGTGGGTGAGGGACGTTTTCACTTTTTAGTTCCCTTCTCTCCTAAACATTAATTCAGTGAAGTTCAGTAGCTGGCATTCAACTGAACTCTGCAGTGTGTTTGCCTGATTTGGGGTGCCCTGGGAAGGGGAGTCAGAGGGCTTACTGGGATCTCTCCGTGTTTTGGGATTCACAGGGACTTGGGGGATATAAGAAGGGGCCAGTCAAGTAGGAAATGAGGACACAGCTCATCATTGGAAAGATAGCTTTCATTGAACAAGAAGTGAAAGGGTGATAAGAAGTGTCAACAGAAGGCCAAAAAAGGGGGGCAATAGGGGTCTGGCCAAATACCAGAGTGGACAGTTGTAGTGGGTTAGGAGTGGTGCAGTGTGGGATGCCTGGAGAACCGACCAGACTGGGTCATAGAACGTTTGGTGTCCACAGATAACACGTTACCTTGTTCACAGTGCACTAGTGTAAGAGAGTACTTGATTTTCCAGGTACGCTTTTGAACTGTTACAGTACATTTTAAACTAGTTTAATGGACTTCTGTGTGTGTGTCTGTTTCAGGATTAAACTGCATTTAAACCAACTTATGAATTATGTATGTCAATACTTTCACAGCATCTCAGAGCCATTTTATAAAATTCAGCATAAAGTTTTATAGGCAAAGTAGGGACAAACGGGAGATCTTTTTCTAACCGACTGAGAGAGTTTGTGCTGCACAAGAAGGCCCTCCCCTGCTCTACAGCTTGGTGTCTGTTGGAAAGCTTATTTATTAAAATTATATGCTGCCCTTCCCAACAAAAGCTCAGGGTGACTTAGAGAAGAGAGCAAAGTGGCTTATAAAACTAGTGAACAAGCCAGGAGAAAGTAAAAGCCAAAGGAGTAGTAAAATAAGCTATATAACAACCCTCTCCCACAACAATATTGCAGCTTAGCCTGGTCTCCTATGTAGAGGTACAGGGAGAAAATTTTGTGCCCTAGACAAAACCCCCTTTCACCAAGAACCAGAGAGTGGTAGCAGTGGGGTCTTACGTACCTTGGGCACTCAAAGACCCCAGTTGATACTGCTGCATTGTTGTCTGCCCGCTCCTTACTGTGGAGCAAGAGCAAGCATACTGGTAGTTACCAGGGAGAAGCAGAAGCTCTCTTAAGTACCCACTCTGGTTTAACCTTGTGTTAGATTGTTTGTATGCTCATAACCCTGTATTCTGAAATAATGATGCCTGCACTAGGGTAGCTATAGCATTGTAACTTTTTACCTCAATACAATGTTCGTATGTAAACAAGGTCTTCAGAAAGTGCCTCTGGCTTGTTATCCTCAGCTCAGAAATGCACTGGATGCAGGTAGAGGAAACCTGTTAGTGTTTAACGTCATTTATAAAAGATAGGTGCGTTCGTAGTGTTAATTAAGCTCCGCTGTACTTTGCAGTTGATGCACTGCCCCCTTTCTCAGGATCTAAAAACAGTCTTACGTACTATTTAGCAGCTTTCTTTTGCCTGCTGCATAGAATATGTATTTAGTTTGTTTTGTAACAAACTCTGACATGATAGTCTCTGCTTATATTATTTTGTAATCTTCCATGACAGACCATGACAACCGAGGGGCAAAGGGATGACTTGTTACAGACAATGCCAGTTGTCTCACTGGTGGATGAGCAAGTTCATTATTGTCCAGAGAGTCTCAGTTCTCCTCTGCTAAGGGTCTAGAAGCTCCATCTTGGGCCCTTAAGCCTGAGGTCTGAAGCAGAGGGGAACTAAGAGTTTCTCAGGAATGGCAAAAATGTTAAAAGCTCATTGCATCAAATGCCAGCATCTAACAAAGAAATGATATCTGGTACAATGGGACTTACCTTGACTTTTTTTTTTTTCATTTTCAGGGTCTGAACATAATCTTTCATGTTGCTTTGGCTCTCTTAAAGGTAAGCCTTTTACTCTTTTAATTTATAATAAAACCATGTGGGTATTTATGCAATTATTGCTGTCACTTAGCTGAATATACCACACCTTACATTCATCATCAGCAATCCCTCACGGTCAAGGATGATCACTCCCATGGGGCAAGTTAAGGGTTATAGATGAGTCCATGGATGACTAAGAAGGCTTATCGTAGAGTCAGGCTCTCTGGCAGACACCACGGGTGGTGATTAAAGGGAAGGTTGGACTGCAGATTTCTCAATCTTTTTTTCTTTCCTTCCATGTCTGTCGTTTTTCTGCCTCTAGGGGGAGATGGGCCTTTTCTCACAAGGTATCACCATGCATCTTTGTCCTGGGCTAGTTTTTCTCAGCTTATGATGTCAGTGCCACACTTCTTAATGTTTGTCTTGAGGGTGTCCTTGAAGCATTTCCTCTGGCCCCCACATGCCCTTTGTCCTTGGATGAGTTGGGAGTATAGTACTTGTTTTGGTAAATGTACATCAGGCATATGGACACAATGCCCTGTCCACCGCAGCTGATGTTGAATAATCAACACTTCCATACTGGTGGTGTTAGCATTGGTGAGGACACTAGCATTTATGTGACAATCCTCCCACTTTATGCCAAAGATCCTCCAGAGGTAGTGCTGATGAAGGCGTTCCAGGGTTTTTGGGTGGTCCCTGTAGGTCAGCCAAGCTTCACAGCCATAGAGAAGAGTTGGGATTACCACAGCCTTAAATAGGAGGAGCTGTATTTGAGTCCTTATGTCGTGATTATTGAACACAGTCTTCTGAAGACAGAGCTAGCACATCGGATCCTATACTAGATCTCTTCATCGATGCTGGTTTTCTTTGAAAGATGACTGCCAAGGTATGCAAACTTGTTTAACACTCTCTAGCTCCTGTCGGTCAGTGAGGATCTTTGCTGGGAGAGTTGATTGGCCTGGAGCAGGCTGGTGAAGCAGCTTTGCTTTTCTGTTGTTTAGTGTCAGTCCTAGGCACTGGTATGCTTGAGGGCAACAGTTAAGAGCTGTTTGTAGGTCCTCCTCAGTATGTGCGACAACAGCACAATCGGCATACTGAAGTTCCACAATAGAGGCCAACGTAACTTTGGTTTTGGCATGGAGGCAGGAGAGACTGAAAAAGTTTCCATCCATCCTGAACTCGATGCCAATGCCATGTGGCAGACAGTCATGGATGAGCATTTTGATGACTGCAAGGAAGATGTGATTACACAACCCTGTTTGACGCCCATTTGAATGGCAAAGGGCTTTGTAGTGGAGCCACTGCATAGGATGGAGGCAGTCATCTGGTCATGAAGGAGTGATTAAATTTCCCTGGGCAGCCAACCTTCAATAAGATCTTCCATAGAGCCTCACAATTAACAGTGTCAAAGGCTTTGGTCATACAACTAAGGCCGTATGCAATTCCTAGTGTTGTTCTCAGCATTTTTCCTGGATTTACTGGGCCACAGAAATCATGTCCATGGTGCTTCTTGATGGTCTGAAGCCACATTGAAATTCAGGGAGGATTTCTTTGGCAAAAGGGAGCAGTTGGTTTGGCAGAATTTGAGCAAGAATCTTCTTGGCGATGAAGAGGAGGGCAATACATCGATAGTTTTCACAGTCAGACTTACCTCCCTTCTTAAAAATAATGACAATATTGGCATTCCTTAGGTCAGTAGGAATTTCCTCAGTGTTCCAAATTTTAAGAAACAGTGGGCACATCTACACATTCATTAATGCACCGTAGTTACTGCGCATTAAGTTTTGTACTCGGTTAACCAAGTACTAAATCAATGCTCAGTAACGTGCACTACTGCGCAGTAGCACCAGCACATGGGCTTTTATTGATGCTTATTGCCCAGTAGCCTAATACTACTGCACAGTAGTGTATTAGTACAGTTTTTGCCCAATGTGCTACTGCACAGTGTTATTAGGCTACTGTGCAATTAGCATCTTGTGTAGATGCACCCAGTGTGTAGAACTTGTTGGTCACAGTTTCCCCACCAACTTTGAAGACCTCAGCTGATATGCCATCAGGGCCAGATGCTTTGTTGTTCTTCATCTTTCTTATTGCCTGTGGATTTCTTCAGAGGTTGGTGGACTGGCAAGTGCTTCTCTTATTGGATGCTACAGGCTAGAATCAATGCTTTCATCGGTCATTGTCGAGTCTCAGGTCAGGAGCTTTTGGTAGTGGTCCTTCCAGCAGTTTTTAATGGACTCATCTTTGAGAAGTGTACTGCTGTCTTCAGATCTAAGCAGGGTGAGCCCACAAAAACTTGGTCCATACATAGCTTTGATTGCATTGAAGAAGCTCCGCATGTCATGATTGTCAATGAATTGTTGAGTTTCTTTCGCCTTCTCTTCCTACCATTTGGTTTTGATTTCTCAAATCTTCCTCTGGGCATCAGCTTTAAGCCATTGAAAGGTTCCCTGCTTCTGACTGGACATAGGATGGTTTTGCCAGTCACAGAAAGCTGTTTTCTTCCACTCAAGAAGGACTTTGATCTCAGCGTTATTTTCATCAAACCAGCCCTGATGGTGTTGGATGATAAAGCCAATTGATTCTGTTCAAGCCTCATGGATGGTCTCTTTTACAGTTGTCAATCTTCCTCAACACAAGTTTTCAATCCTAAAATTGTAGAGGTTCTTGTTGGAATGTATTTGGAAGTCCTCACAATGGCTAGGGGTCTGAAGGGATTTGGTGTTGTACTGTCATCAGAGTGATTTGGATTGCTTTTGATGTTTCAGCACAACCCTGATGTACAGGATTGATCTCACTAAGCAATGATCAGTTCAGCAGTCGTTAGCTTCTCTCATTACATGCGTCTTTTAGATCATGCGCTCTTATGATGATGTAGTCAAGGAGGTGCCATTGTTTGTTTTGTACCTGTCACATTGTCTGAAGATAGTGTTAATAGTGACAAGGTCATGCTCTACATATTTACCGTGTCAAAGGATGCTGTTTGGCCTTGCCCACTCCTTCCTTTTCAGTAGTGCTCCTCCATATGTTAAAATCCTGGCAAACTCTCACATTGAAGTCTCCAAGGAGGATGATCTTGTCCTTTTGCAGGATGACAATCAGAATTTCATCAAGGTTAGCATAAAACTGTTCTTTCTGTTCTTCCTCGGCATCAAATGTTGGAGCATATGCACGGATAACGGTAGCAAACGAATTGTTGGTCAGTTAGAGGTGGAGAGTCATGAAGTACTCATTAATGCCAATAAGGAATTCAGTCATTCAGCTGACAATCTGATTCTTAATGGCAAAACCAGTGCCATGTATTTGTCTGTGGTTTGCAAAACAAAGTATAGCCACCCTGTCCTCTCTACCATGGCCTTCATCTGCATATCTGGTCTTGCTGAGAACAGCGATATCAATGTTATATTGCAAGAGTTCTGAGGCAGCAATAGCTGTTCTACTATAGCTGTTCTACAATAACTGTTCTACATTTAGGTCTGTCACTGTCCTGGTCATCTAGTAGGGTTTGTACATTCCAGGATGCAAGGGACATTTTTGTGTTTGACTGCAATTTGAGTGATCCCCCTGGAAGTGGTTATCCAGTCAGTTGAGATAAAGTAGGACAGCCTATGTTTGAGGCACCTTTTCTAGTCCCTTCCCCATGTGGGGTGAGCAGAAGGGATTCTAAAAAGGACAGCTCAGTCACAATCACAGCTGCTAAATTACCCTCTTGTCCCATTCCGAGGGTGAAGTGACCATCATGCGACCGGCCCCTGCATGTGAATCCATGACTAGGGACTCCCAGCGATCACTTTATCTGTCCCTGTCACCACTTGTCCATTGCTTCAGGACTTTGTAGATGTATTGATTGGCTATTGTAGTAGATGTTGGATTACTGGGAGAAGACTGGTCATGACTTGTTTTACGTGAGGAGGCCATTGTGCATTGAAAGCCACATGGATCTTGGCAGAGGAGAAATGTATGTCCAGTGGCAAGGAGATCCAAGATGACTGGAGTTACTCTTCCACTGCAGCCTTCATCTGCCTTCACAGCTATTGGAAAATATACCTCCTGCATCTGCCTGCTTCACTGTTGAGTTGAGGTCTTTATGTTGTGTTGAACTGCTCTTTGTCTGATACCTCACCGTTGACCTTACCACCGTGGGTGACCCTACCAGGAGTACAAGACTCCCAACAATATTGCTCTTAGGGCCTTCGGTACATGCAAGCCTCTCCACCCCATCGAGGTGGCAGTCCATGGAGGGCACACCTTATATTAAAATGATATCAAAAGGCTTTGGGCTATAATTCTTGAAGCCCCAAAGTTTTCAGGAAAGAAAAGGGGGAAATTAAATGTTTGCTTTTGTGGGCATGGTCAGCATGGCCCTTAAAACTATTTACCTTTGTTTTGTTTTATTTTTGTTAAACTATTCCATCATGCATTCGAGTTCCTGGAGGTAAAAGTGTATATAATGATTATTGTTTCACATATATATCTACTAGGAAGTAAACAAGTCTGATTCACTTTACAGGTCTTTACTTCATACATGGGGTATTTCATAGAATTGTTCAGTTGTACTTACCTCCAGGAAAGGTATTGTTGCATCTCAAATGCATTTATAATGCCAGGGGAGAATCAAATTCCTTTTGCAATTAAATCAGAGGTGCCAAAGATCTGGTCTGTGGGCTGGATCCAGCCCATAGAGCCCTGATATCTGGTCTGCAGTGCTGCCTGTGGATCTTGGACTTGGGACCACACACATGTGCACGCCGGCCCGGCCCCATGTGCTTTCACCCAGTGCATGGAGCTAGGGCTGGCATGTCTGCATTACACGGCACATGGGGATGGATCTGGCAAGCGCTGCAAGCTGTGTATGGGGCCTGATGCAGTGTGTGGTGTACTGTACAAGGCGTGCAGGGCCAGTCTGTACATGCTGCGTGCATCATCCATACTGCATCAGCCTTGCATGCAGCATCCAGTGTGTAGGGATCCAGAAGGATCCAGCCTGCAGACTAGCCTCCCACTACCCATCGCTTCTGTGG